ACTCAACTGTAAACTCAAGCCCCAAGCTAACATATGCTGGTCGGTCGTCTATGATGACCATATCTGGCAAACATAAGTGAGCTCATTGAAATGTATACCACTTATTTCTACTTCTTCTATTAAAGTTAACTGTGGCCTTGTCATTTTTGTTACAACAAAAGTTATGATACAGTAGTAACTTTACGTCCTGTCTTCTGTTAGCTGCATCGCTTGGAGTGGCTGTCATCCATTTTTTTGACCTGGACTTCAGTCTCTTCCTATATAGTAATTTACACTTCACCCTGTCCACTAGTCTTACAGAGGTTGAAAGTGTTGCTCATACCATAACACAATGTAAAAATCTGTACACAAGTTACAGGGGTTCCATCAACTGCTTACAAAAAATGTTTCACACGAATGCGGTCCTCCTGCCAAAATTTTGAGTCTCCTCTTTTAAGTGTGAATACAATTGAGCTTTAATTGACTTTTGTAATAATCAAAGTATTGAAAAAATATGAACTATTTTACCAGAACTCTCCCCTAAACATACAGCCTAAAGGAGACAGTTAAGAGAAGTTATCAGCAATAGGAAATTGTCAGGTTTGAATACAGCACATTTTCTGCTATACTGATGATCCCAACAGTATTTTTTACTCTTCCATGCTGCTGCTGGTGTTGGAAAGTTTTAACCAACATCTGTATGATATTCAGGAATAATCAGGTTATGCTTTACACTTTTAGGAGAGTTTCTAATTAATCTTACTAATCTGAAGAACATACCATAATTCTTGTTACAGATATGTTCATATAGATGGTTTTGCCATTTATAGCATTTTATGATCAACAACCTATTGACGAGTAACTTAATGTGTAGATGTTACATCTGGGTCAGAAGATTCTATGGGGTCAAAACCTTTGCTCTGCGTTCAGTTTGGCTGTTATTTATCTTAGGGTATTTGGATCTTACAGCGCATTATGTGACCGTTATACATCAGAATTTATGATCTTCCCTTATTTGCTATGGCAACCTCATGACTGCGGATAGTTTTGGGGTTTTCCCCCTCTAACTACTCCTATGGGGAATTTCTATTATGATCAGAAGGTGAAATACAGATTCTTTCTTTATACAGTGAATTCCTTTACTTTCTTTTAAATGCTGATTATCCTTCTAACATGACAGAGTACCTAATCAGGAAGATCATCAGGAATACTTGGAATTAAGAAATATTTAATAAATTTTGTACAACTATCCTCTTGTTAAAAAAAAATCATAAGAATAATTTGATCTTTTGCAAAATTTAGAAAGTTGTATTTTAGTACCATAATATAAATCTGTACTCTGTGGCATCATTAAGCTTGAAAAATAATTTTTATTAACATAGAAAAAAGAATAAGGAAAGTGGACACTGTAATTAAACATTTTATTTCATCTACAAATAAGTACTGTGAGTAACAAAATAATAAAATAGTTCTTTAAGTCTTGTGAACAGTGAGAAACAGAGGAAGGAATTTTCTGAAACAGAAGCAAAAGAAAGAGTCTTCTGAAATAGAAAATATTTGGCAATATCTTTTAGTCTCTCAATAAAATATCCATGTAAACAAGTAATCCATATTTACAATATCATATGCAATCTTCATGGTTACATGTAGTAAGAAGTGCACATGTAATTACTGTACATTCAATTTTAAAATCTAATTTGTACTGTCATTTCTCAGTTTCATTAATGTTGGAAAAAACACCATTCTGCTTTTGCACACAGTACTGCATGACAGCATGTAAATACATTAAAAAATTGTTTTTTCCAGGCATCTTAAAAAAATAGCACTTTTAATGTTAGGTTTTGTAACTTCGTATGATTTTATAGGAATACAAATTTGAAATTTAAGTACACTAATCATGTCCCTGTAAAAGCAACAATGTAGATTATTTCCTGCAAACATGAAGAAAAATCCTGATAAAATAGCTGGAGTTCTATCTTCCATTTATATCTTTGAAAATATACCTTTTTATTTCCTGTGTTGCTACTATTACACATAAATACAGGTAAGAAAAATTGCATGAAAGGCAAGTTAATGGAAGGCCACTTTCAGAAGCAGCTTTAGGAATATGTTTTTTTTCCAGAGAAAATTACTCTCCAAAGTCCTATGTATTTTTATTTAGCACTTTAACTAACTTCATATGTTGCAAGGATACTTAGAGACCTTTTTATCAGGGTAGAATACAAGCCAAAAGTCTATAGCATGTTCAGCCCATTTTAAATTGCAGACACCAAGGTTGAGCAAGGTTTAGGAGCTCATGGGAAACTTCCAAAGACCAAAGCAGCCGGAAGCCCACAGTTCATACACATGAGATATCACTGATTATGATAATTTCCCAGAATGGAATCTTCTAGCTCCCACTGAATTTCTACTCTCACATTTAACCTCAAAATTGAAAAACAAAGATATAGTCTGGCAGACTAACCTCAAAAGGTTGCTAATCCTTGATTTTCAATTAGTTTTATGTCACCAGAATAGAGAAGAAAAGACACCATTCTTTTTCAAGAATCATTACTCTTGAAAAGTACATGGAATAAAATGGAAACAGAAGACATACTGGTTACTATACCTAAACTTTAAAAGCATATAGAACCATTCACCTAAAAGCTATTTATTTCAATACTTCCAAGTCAGTATTGTAACAGATCACCTATTTTGTGGGTTTTCTCACAGTATACTGTACAGTTAGTTTCTTCCAGAACAATGCCTAGACAACTGACTACCTTCCACACAAACACATGCTTTTATTAGATTACTTAGTACTATGCAAAGTTTGAATGAGCTCATTTTCACAGGTGGATGAGACACAGTAATGGGCCAATATATGCGAACTTGAAATGCTGTTGCCTCTGCGAGTGCAGTGTACAAAGCTAGCACAGTAAATGAGATCAGAAGAAAAGAAGATGGCACAGTTAAGTACTCTCCAGAAGCTACTGTGAATCCCTCTTCCTACTTAATGTTCAATATATAAATTTGTAATAAGGTGCATAACATAATCATGTCATGTCAGTTGAGCACTAATGTCATGTAAAACAAGTGCTCTTGTTTTTCTCTCAGAAAGCTGCGATCAGTACTATTTGAATTTTATGCTGAAGCTACCCAGAATAATTTTAGGGAAGATAGATAATTGTATGGAACTCGAAAAACAGAGAAAAAGCTGTCTGATCCATTGCACGTAGTGGGACTGGAGGAGTGCTCACACAGCAGGACAGTGTTCCTTCTCTCATACCTGAATTCTACACTAAGGCACTTAAAAGCAGGTATTTTCTCAAATGAAACAATACACCAATGCTAGGTGGGCCTGTCATCCACAAACATGTGTAAGTGAAAACACAGAACTCTAGGATGTAGTCCTTGAGTACCAAATGGTACAGCAGAAAAGTTTTCAAATAACTTAATATGCTAGCTTTCTATACTGCATTCACTAAATAATTAAATGTTATTACAAATCAAATCACAGGAACTGAGGTGCTTCTTGTCAAAGATCCAGAATAACTCATGACCAAATGTATTTATCTAATGCAATCCTGAACTACAAAAAATGTATATTTGCTAAAGTTTAATGTGTTTAAACATTTTAAAAAGCTGAAGTAGTAAAAATGTATGTAGCCTTTTAAAAAAATAGGAAATTATATGCTGTATGAAACTGTCAATATTGCAACACAATCAGTGGAAAATTTGGATATGTAGTGGGCTCTGAAGCTTTTACAAGAGATTATAACAGAAAGGCTCTTTATTTTGGACATGTGCAATCAAAATACTCTATAATTATTCTTCTATAGTAGTAAAAAATATAAGTATTGTTTATATCTGTGAAAATAATGAATAAGCGTAATACATTAATACTCTGATTACTAGAAAGAGCTATAAAAGTGCCATTAAAGACTCAAACTGCATTAACACTTTAATTTAAAATTAAGAAGTCATAGAGTTTGTATAGTTTGCTTATAGACTATGTCTTCATGTCTGTGATGATAATGATTTTGACGCCAGTGTGGAGATACCAATATTTGCTTCCAGTTAACAGGTAGTGTTTTAATCAAATCAGCAAAGCTCAGCTGTTTCTTGGAGGAAGCATTTCTCACTTCAGGCTCCTTTCTTCTGTGAGACTGCTAGCAGTCTTCTTGATTTGTAACCTCCTAATTTCTAGTCTAGTGCCATAAATCAATGGAACTGTACAAATACAGATAGTAAAATGCTGCCTTTGGGATAAAAGCAAGACTTGGTTTAAGAGATACATATTTTTCTAAGTGTGTATCTATAGCTTTCCAAATAAGACAAATTCTGCATTTGGATGTCTTACAATTGCCTTAGATCTCACATTGTCCATATACAATATATTTGTTAGAGTTGGTTAAAAAGTCAACAGATATGTTCTGACTAAAAAAAAAAAAAAACATAAATTTTTAAAGAAAACATAACATTTAATGAAGATTTCAGGCAAACAGTCATTTCTTTTTTTGAATTCAAAATTTTAGACTAAACATTTTTATGGTGCAACTCTGCAAAGTGCTGAATGGCCTCAAATCCCTTAGATTTTAGCAGCTGGTGAGGGGGTTAATCAGCCTGAGGAACCAGAGCTTAAAAAAAAAGAACATTACCAGAAAAATTATGTGTGACCAACTAAATTCTGCTGCCTGGTATACTTCATGACTCTGATTCATAGCCTGCAAAATCACTCAGAGCAAAATTTAGTCTCAGTCTTGGTAACTTGTCAGGAGTGTAAGAAATAGAAGCAGTAAATGAAGAAGTGATATGGGAAACATTTTCCAATTATGTGATTTTCCTACTATGTGATGTCATTCACGGTCTCATTTTTTAAATGAGGACTGAGCATGAACCCATATAATAGGTTTAAGACTTACTGTAATTTAAATTCATATGCAGAAAACTTGAGTATCTTTGAGCAAGCAATACTGAAAATAAACCCCCAACCTATTTATATGTCAATATAACTAAATTGGAAAGAACCAAGGGGGGCTGGCAGTATAATAGTACTGTTAATCTGTGTATTTTCTTTACATAGTTGATCGTTGGCCTGCTTCATCAAGTTTGAGGTTTTTTCTGGCTGCTTCACTATTGATCCTCATATCAGATTTATCTGTGTTACTACCGTCTGTCACTGTGGATTCTTCTTCTGTACCTTCAGGAGTCCCTCCAATGGGCCGCAGAAGTTTAGCATTCTCTTCTGGGGGGCGCTTCCAGTGTGGCCTGCTTGCCATCCACAAAATAAGCGCACCAAATATGACAAGCAAAAGACCAAGACAGTTGACAAAAGTTGCCTCTGGTGGGGATGTACTATATGCAGGATTTTTCCTTTGGAGGGGAAAAAAAAAAAAAGGTCAGTTGGTCTAAAGACAATCCCAGTCTAGAAACAGTAGTCTCCTGCTAGGTAGGAGGTATTCTTAAAACAAAACAAAGCAATTGCCTAGGTGGTTATTATTCTGTGCAAATGGAAGTACAGTTTGCAATGAATAACCTTAATAAACAAGTGATAAGAATTACTTACAATGAAAAGATAAGCTTTTCTGTGATTCCCATGAGAGCTGTTGCAATCACTGTTGCAAAGATGGTAAGACCCGAATAAACATGTATTGGCATGAGAGCTTCTCGGAGAGGAACTGGAGCAAAAGGGAGCAGAAAGACAGCGAAACCCAAGAAAAGCTAAACACAAAACAGATTAATAGTTAAAGCTATATGGGAAACGAACTGGACTTCTCAAGCAGAATACAAATCATCATAAAAATTCCATTTTGAGATGTCTTCAGGTACAAGTTTGAAAAGAATTGGCATTTCTTTTTTGTGTTTCATTTGTGTTTCTTTTCAAAACTAAAGCAATAATTCTCGATTAGCACCTGGGAGGCAGACATGAAATATTTTATAAATAATACCGTCTAATATCACTGTCAAAACTTATTGGTAAGGCTAGAACTGCAACGAAACTAAGTACTGGAAACACAAGTTTTCAGTGTCACTAATTCAATAATATACTAAAGGCATGAGTAGCTACATTTTTACAGTCTCTTCAAGTCCTGTTCTCTGCTTCTGTTACAGATTTACACATAAATTAAGATCAGAAGGCAGTCTAACCTTCTGACTCAAGTGGACTAAATAATCTTACCTTGTTAGATTTTTGGTTAAATTAAAGTACATGTCTTTAGGAGGGCAATGGTCTATATCTCAATCTATCAATCAGTTGGCATTTACAGAGGGAAGATGTGTGTGGGTGGCATTTAGTTATTCAGGGGAGATGAGTCCTTCCATTAGCGCCAATTTTCTGATGGAAGATAACCCATCATGTCACATGGCTGCAGTCACAGGCTTGCCCAGTCATATTGAAGCTGCATCCCTTCTTTAGTTTGTTCTACTGTTACTCACCCCTGTGGCCAAATTAGAAATAGTGCATGAATTTGTATTTTATCTTGCTTTAACTTCCAGTCTTAGTCCTTGTTTTGTCTTTCCATGCTGGATTAAAGGGCCTGGTATTTTCTCCCTAGGAAGTTTTTTAATACACCATAATTGGGTCATCTCTTAATCTTCTTTAGATCTGCTAAACAGTTGGAGCTTCTAAAGTCTTTCACTAGAAGATAGTTTTTCCAGCTCTCATATTACTTTTCCATGTTTTGCCTTTTTTTTCATTTTTTTTACATTAAAAAAAATTGTTCCATAGTATTTCATATTAGTTTTGCCAATGCCATATATGTGGGTTAAAATAATATATTTAGATAATATCTTTTAGGGAATTTACTTTTCCTCTTGTCACAGCATCGTGGAGCTCATTTTGAGCTTCACGTCATCTTTGAGTACTTCTTTCCAGAACTGCTTTCCAAGAGACAGTTTCCATTTTGCATTTCTGCCCTATTCTTAGAAAATTTGTGTCCTTGTGCTATACTGTGCTATTTGGCTTAAATACAGTATATTTACAGTATTGGTCCTGTCGGTATAGTATTATGTGAGCATCCCACCTGAATAAGTTTTAAATTCTGAGATTGACATGCCATTTCTAGCAAATGCCAAGTGTCTTCTCTATTAACAGAGATACTAATTTATGACTATTGTTTAACGATAATGCTCAATCACTTAACAAACCTAAGTCTCTGACTGGACACTTACATCCCAGTTTGGAGGAAGTAACACCACAGTTCTACTGATGAGACAGGCAAGGCATTAAATGCCATTGATCATGTTTATAGTAGCAAAATGAAAAGCAGAACTAAGACCTTATTCACAATTCTTTATCTTAACCATCAGAAGAAATGCTGATCTTCAGTACAGTGGCAGCACAGAATTCCCTGAAATCACTGCATTATTAAGACCATGAAAATCTTAACATTGTTTCTTCTTATTCATTAACTGTTTTTCAGCTATAAAGAATACATTCAACAATGCTGCAATATGCTTTCCTTTTTCTAAGTGTTAAAACCACTATTTCAACACTATTTCCTGTACCTCCTAGCCTGAGAAGTGAAGGATAAAAGTCCAGAACCCAAATCCCACAGCTGGGGATTTTCTGTTCTTGATCACCAGATAATTAAGTCTTATTTTTTTATTTTTAGTGTTTTGGCAAAAAAATTAAGAATCACAATCTGAAGGAACAAAATTAATTTCCATAGTGTAATAACAAATATAGGGAATTCAGAATGTATATGCAGAAACATCACATCTGTATGTGTACACTAAATGTCAGGGCATGCCTGCTCTTCTATGCCAAATGCAAAACATACTAGGTTAGCTCATTTTAGATTATGATAACTCTAATTCTCGACCAACAGGAAAAGTTAAAAACATGCACACAAACATTTATTTTTTATTTATTTATTAAGTTTTGCTGGTTCAGGAAAAGTGGTTAGCAGTAGTAGCCATTCAGATGTCAAATCCTTTAGATCTGCACTCCTCCCTGCTGCACCTGTTCTGCTTATAAACAAAAGTTCTGAGGCCAAGAAGTGACTACTTAAAATTATGATAGCTGGAAAAAAAGAAAAACAATTACTTCATTTGAGAATTCCCTAATAAAAGCTCTAACTGTATTTAAATATGCTGCCAACAAACCAAATCACTTGCTTTAACTTCAGGAGTTTATAGAGCTTGGAAACACACTGCTGTATAACTGAGTAGTAAATAAACTGCCATTATCTCAGCAAAGAAACAAAATATGCTTTAAAATACATTTTTCTTTGAAGTCAAGGGTCCAGTATTTGCACATTTACATGATAATTTGCCAAATCACACAATGTAAAATGGGTATCCCAGTAGTTAAGAGTGTATTAATGAGAGCTACTGTGCCTGAATTACTCAACACATTCTTCAAATTTACAACCTGTTTATAAATACAGTTAGATTCTGACCTGGAGAGAATAAAATATAACAGCAGTCAGCCCAATCCAGCTGTGCAGACTGTACATGTTAGGAATGTTGCTGGCATTGTGGAATTCGAACACGGCTACCATGGAAACAATCGCAAGAATCATAGCTATGGTATTTAATCCAGCATGTATGAACTTCATTAGGAGTTTGCTGCACTTCCAGGTCCAGGGCAACCTGTACACAATAATAGCTGAAAAAAGAACAGAAACAAGATTTAATGCCTTATAGCATAACTTCTCTCAGATTTTAATAATCATGCATCATTCACACAGTTCCATTGTAAATTACAGGAAAATGCAACCTTAAATCCTCTAAAAAAAGTCTATTAAAAGGCTTTTTCTCCTACACATAGCATGTTCCAAATATACACTGAGGCTTAAATACAGCTTTTGGGGAGATTTCTTCCTAATTTAAAAAAAAAAATTAAGCATTTTTCAAACAAAGAACGGTAAACAACTCGTTGTCATAATTTCCTTATTCCTTGAATTGATCTAACAGGGATTCTGCATAGGATTTTGATTCTTCTGTTATTAGTTAGATTAGAGGAATAAGGCCCAATTCTTATATCCAGAAGACCACCTACTGAGAAAGTATGTAAGATTATTTTTTAATATTTATTCTCTTTGCCAGCTCTGGATAATGCTATTCTCCATTTGCATAGATATTTATGTGACTATCACATTCACTGAAAGAGTGATCAGGCATTGGAACAGGCTGCCCAGGGAAGTGGTGGAGTCACCATCCCTGGAGGTGTTCAAGAAATGTGTAGATGTGGTGCTTCGGGACATGGTTTAGTGGGTTAGGTGGTGTTGGGTTGACAGTTGGACTTGATAATCCTTGAGGTCTTTTCCAACCTTAATGATTCTATGACTCTATACTTTAAATGGGAAAATGCTACTCAGCATAAGGGAATCACAATCTGACTTTTAAGAGACAATCATATTTGGCAACTACAACTCTTCCAGCACTGTCAGATGAACGTAAGGGGGTTTTGCCCATGTTTGCATTAATAACTCCAGCAGACAGTGTTTTGTCCAGTGTGGACAAAACAACAATTTCTAGTGATTTAACTCCAGATGGTCCATAAGAATAACTTAGCCTAGAGCTGCTTCTTGCCAAGCTCTTTCCTCAGGGTCCCCACTGCTCCTTCCCTGCCACAACTGTCCCTTGCCCATCGCATGACCCACAGGGGACACACAGACCAGATTAGATCACTAAAGCCCCAGGTACATCTGATTACCAACTAGGCAGTAATGCTGGATGTGTGACAGCACGTAAGTATATTCAGATAACAGGGGACAAATATTTATGAGGACACCTGATCACTTGACCAATAAAGGCAAATGCCCACATCCATAATGTCTTGCTTGAGCAAAAAGACTGAGCTCCATTCATCTGATTCAGCACGTCGTTATTTAAGATCTCTGCTTATAAAATGACATTCAAACCTTTATGTATAATTAGCTATACTGGAACAACAGAATAAGAATATATGAAGGTTTTTTCCCGTTCCAAACATTAAGAAATAGAATATGCACCAGAAAAAAAAAGTATTACCTGATAAATGCAAAGATTTAAGAATTTGAGTAATTCTCACGTGTCTTACTCATTACTTCTCCATAACCCTAGCTTTTTATGCAGAAAGCATAGGTTATGCAAAATAAATAAGATATTCATTCTGTATCTTGTAATGAATAATAATAAATGACAAATACATTTCAAAGTTTTGTTTACACTTTTTTTTTTTTTTTACTTGGATGCATGCCAGGAAATACAGTACTGCATTAAATAATTCACAAAGAAAACACTGTTCACAAGTGAAATTTCCAGACTATGATCAAATTTTAAATCAATGACTGCTTTTACATACTGTGTGAAAATGTAGTACTGGAGTGAAAGTGTCGCTTAGAATATTTAAGTATATGGAGCACTTGGGTAGTTCTCAGCTTTCTACTTTTAAAAAATAACAACAGTAAATCCTATAAAATCAGGAAGATAGAAGCCTTGTTTTTAAAACAGTTTGACAGTAATCAGTCTATATGACATAGGTATGATTCAGCACGCTAAACTTATGATCACCTCCAGTGGTTCCCCAGAAGTTATATGATAGTCTTACATCTTGTTAATATTGAAATAATTGCCTACATCAGACTATTATTAACTTAGTACTAAGGATTATGTTTTCTTACTTTGTAAAGCATGTATGCCAAAAGGCCCCAAACAAGCCTCAACATCCCATGAGGATATTCCCAGTAAATCCTCCTTGCTCCATCTTACAGTATGGCCCATAGTATTGTCAATAATTTATTCCAAGTGCAAGAGTACTGGACTCTCTGTCTTGAAGTGAACTTGATGTGCATAGGTCCTGTTCTCAGTTTTTAGTCTTTTATCTCAGAGGGTCAAGTCCAGGCTAAAATTTTTTTGTAACATTTTTCTTTGGTGCATAAGATGCTGTCATCTAGTTGATTTAACTATCAACTCCCTAGTCACTCATCCACATAGTCTCAGATCTCTGTCTGGGCCATGAATTTTCTGGGCTGTTTCCCATAAATAGCATGATAGAAAAGCAAGGAATACAGACTCATGGCTTGGACACTTGCTAACAATACCATGCATTAGTATGTTACATGTCACAGCCCAGGACATAGGCATGATAGTACACTGTGGTTTAATCCTTTCTGTGAGGGCTGTGTATGAAGTCTTACTTTGCAACTTGAGAGACCTGTTTACCATGGTGAAAAGGGACAGTCCCATTTCCACATCACTGCTTTTGTTCCACTTCTGTGTGCTTCCTCCTGCCTTTGTCGTAACTGGTGCTTTTCTGGCCAACAGGAGGAAGCAGACAATCTGGGGAACAATGGGGAAAGGAGGAGGAAGATTCTGCTTTCAGTGATGCAAGCTCTTAAAAACTGACTCGGACATGGTGTGTAATTTCATCTCAAAATTAAAATAGCCTGGGTTAAAAGCACATACACAATTACCGCATTTTTAGTGGCAACATGCAAAAGCAGTCCTGTGAAGAACTTTCTCTAGGTACAGTGTCTCTACTACTGTTAAGAAATTTGACAGTCTAGCCACCCTTAGACAAAGCTTCTTCACTCAGATCTCACTCCTGTTTTGAGCTCTGATTTTAAAGCACATCACATAGGGCAGAGTGATCTTGCAATATCTTGTATGTGGCATGGGACACCTGTTCTTTGCTAAAGGTACAAAGCAAAATTCTAGAGTTAGTTCTCTAGTATTTCTAACTGGCACGTGCTGCACATGCTGTAGGGAGGTGTCATGGATTGCTCATGAGATGCCTTCCATCTTAGAAGGCACACAGCGTGGTTCTGTGAGTGCACTGGGGGTACGCTGCACAGCACCTCACAGCTAACAGAAAGTAATGTTCCTCTTTACTCCTCCTATTTTCTCTCCTGCTCCTTCTTGGCTGATCCTGTTGCTTACCTTTGGCAAGTTCTGAATGCCCACTAACTTCTTTGGGAACCACTTTAACACCAGAATGGACAAGTGCCTATTTATGATTTCAAAGGGACTCAAACAGCTCATCAAGAGAGCTGCCTCTTCACAAGTTGCCTGTGGTGAGACCATTACAGCTCAGCAGTCATTTGCCCTTCCAATTCTTGAGAATTCTGCAGCCTACTGGATGTTAGAAACTCCAGGAGTTAGCTATTTTTCCTTTGAACAGATATTTTGTTATGTTTGAAATAGAGGTAATCATGTTTGTCAGGTAACTCAGAGCAAGTGTTATCTTTAGATTTCAAGAGAAAAGACTATACTTAAATTTAGAATAGATTTGTACTCCTCCTCCTTGCTCTTGCACATTGTCCACCATCTCCCTTCTCCCATCTATGGCACTTTGTGCAGGCAATTCAACTGTCTCTTCCAACAAGAACTGTACTTGAGGTGGGTGGGTGTTAGTTTCCTGCTAGTTGAGTTAATTCGGTTTATGGGTCTGACAAGGGTGAGAGCTGACACAAACCAACCAGTAGGAAAATGAAGTCTGAGTCAAAAAGAAAGCTGAAAGGGAGAAGTGGAGGAAAAAAGCAGGAATATTTCAGCCACAGTGAGCTGTTAGATTGTTGTACCCACCTAGGTCATTTCATCCGTACAGATGAAATTTAATTGACTCTGTAACACCACATGGTAATGTGGCAGACCAGGATTTTTCCTTCTCTTTTCTCTGTAAGAACTTGTAAGTAACATTCCTGTTGTATTCCTTATTAATATACTGCTGACATTAGGCCACAACCTTATGTTTTAAGCCTGTTTAAAATACAAGTTATATATTTATAAATCATATATGATGAGGAATATTAATTGTGCAAGCATCTTACAAGGTTTATAGTGTCAACCTACAACTTTATTGTATAGAGTTTATGTGTAACTCATAAGCAGTAGAAGACTCATCTGAGGATGGGAGACAAAGACTACTCCACCCTCCATGTTCTGATTCACTCTTTATTCAGTTTTCCATAACCCCAAAAACCACCATGCTGCTCCTCAGTCTGCAACAGAGATTGTCACACCTCTGTAGAAAAAAATATTCTTATATTAGGCGAGTAATGGGAAATCCTCAAAAATAATTTATTCCACATTATATCTTGATGGGTTTTTTAATTAGTCCTTTGGAAAAGAACCAAACATTATCATTTGCAGACCAAACACAGATTAGCATGCAAATACTCCTTTGGAGCATGCCCTGTCTCTACAGTCATTGTTCAACATTTCCACATGTAAAATAAGGCAGAATTCTTTATTTACTTATTTAACCCACTCTATCACACTACTATTCCTTCAAGAGCTTCCTAAAACTGATTTTTTTCCTCATGCTTTTTTCCTATCTTATTCTTTTCAAAAATATTGCTGTGCTAATATGCACACAGACTTTTATTGCCTGTGTTTTTCCCACTTTAAGTCTAGAAAATCATCTGGACAATTACTGTGCACTGACAGTGTTTTGTCAGGTATAATTTACCTATAGGTGCTTATCCACAAATAGTAAGTATTAATATTAACATGCCTACAGCTTTTTCATTTGATTGACAAGATATATACAACACTTTTATCAGGGCACATCTACTTCCCAACATGCACACTAACATAGTCATCCCTTCTACGTCCTACAACCATACAAGACCAACAATACAACACTTCTATCCTTTGTATAGAGTTTAGTGAACTCAAGAAACAGCTGATTTGTGTGATCCTCCACACAAATTTAACTACATTAGCTATTCCTTTCTGCTTTTAACTACTTAATGACTTCTTTTTCTCGGATGTGTGCAAAGAGATATCCTATTCCCCAGTCTCATCCAAATTACTTTGAGTTCAACAGCAGACTTCTGTCAGCCAGATTTAAATCATTCGGTGGTATCTAAATTAGGGAGTGGATAGATTGCAAAGAGCTGCATGCATCTGAGAAACAGTCATGACCAGGTTGAGAGCTTATGGGTTAAAATCAAGGACTGGTCCAGCGAAGGACATCTAGTGGTTGGGGTCTACTACAGGCCACCTGATCAGGGAGAACCTGTTGACAAAGCAGTCTTGCTTCAGCTGCAAGAGGTGTCACGCTCACTGGCTCTTCTCCTGATAGGGGATTTCAACCACACGGATATCTGCTGGGCTAACAACACTGCAGGCTGCAAACCATCCAGGAGACTCCTGGAGTCTATTGAGGATAACTTCTTCATCCAGATACTAGATGGACCGACCCGAGGGGAAGCTTTA